CGCGCGGAGCTGGCCCCGCGCCCTGCGGGGTGGAGACAGCGCCCTGGGACCCTTGAGTTGGGGGGGCGGGGCGGCGGCAAAGGCCTGGCTGTTCTTGGCCCTGGCACTTTCCCTGGTGGCCTTGGCAGCGTGCCTTGCAGATACAGGTGCCAGGGGAACCTGCCCCGAGTGGGGGTCAGCCCGGCCCCACACCCTTTTCATAGCTACTTGGAGGTTGGTGTGGGGCTCAGTGCTCTGTGTTTACCCATCTTCCTTCCCAGAGCTGTTTGCAGTTCCCTTCTGGGCTTGGTTTTCCCCTCTGTGGAGAGAGTTTAAGCCTCCAAGGCCCTTCCCAGCTACGGGACCTATTGACCTGGGGGGGGATGGTGGAGCCAGAGTGGGTTGTCCACAGAGGGCGGGGTGACTTTGCTTTCCCCTACCCTGAGGGCCTGGCTCAGGCCACTGAGCAGAACACATAGCCAGTTAATTCTCTACTGGTGGGAGTTCTCTGCATGTCAGAGCCACCTCCCTGGACACCGGGCCTCCCTTAGTCCCACTCTCACCTCCCTAGCCTATCCCATGACTTGCCCTGGCTCAGCAGAAACTGTGGACCGGGGCATTTGGAGCCACCGGGAAGGTTAAGGGGCACCATCTCATTACAGAGCCAGCCATGGTCACAGCCTTGGGGTATGGAATGAATAGAACTAGAACCGCCAGACAGGGGAGAAAGTCATTCATGTGCTCTGTGAAATTGAGTACATTTCTTTCTCTCTCTGGGCCTCAACTGCCTCATTTGTCAAGTGGGTTGACAACTGTCTTTTTTTTTTTTAAATTAATGAATTTTCTGATTACAGTGGATATACAATATTACATTATTTTCAGATGTATACCATTAGTGATTCAACATTTATATACCTTACAAAGCAGATCAGTGTTTCTCAAACATTCATTTCTTGGGTTATTAAGAGGCTTCACAGGATAAAGTGTCTGCATAGCAATGAACTTGGGAAACCCTGGAGTTAAACAAAATTGACAAAATTTCTCTGTGAGGGCACTTTTGGGAGCCTTTTAGATGCTAAAGTGCCTTGGGAGTCTGTAGGAGGGGTTATAGCATTTCCGACATTGATTTGCCTCAGAACTTGTCTGTGGTATCTCACGGGGCTAGTGTTCTTGGCGCTCACTGTGAGGACACTGGGCAGGATGCTTCCAAGTTTCTCAGGCAGGGCTGGGAAAGGGGAGGCCTGGGCGGGTATCAGGGTCTCCCCTGCTCACTGGCACTGCCCTCTTTCCTCAGCTGCCCAACATGTTTGGGAACCTGCGCTCCACTATCATGGCCCTCATGATCGGCTCCTACGCCTCTTCTGCCATCACGTTCCCAGGGATCAAGGTTTGGAACTGCTTGAGGGGACAGTGAGGTCACTGTGTTTTCTTTTTTGCCTTGACCTAAGAATTGGGTGGGGCTGGGTATGTATGTAGGGGCTGGTGTCTGGTGACCCAGTTCCTACCAGTCAGAGCTCAGTTCCCACCACCTCTGGGAAAAGCCCTGAGGCATCATGGGAAGAGTCCAGGCACTGTTGTCCACCAGTGGGTCTGATTTCTCTGCTTGCCTTTCCTTTACTGTTGTCCCGGTCCAGGCCTCCGCCCTCTCTCCTGGGCCAGTTCAGGCTTTCTCAGCTGGTCTCCTTGCCTCTGATCATTTCACTTTCCCATCTGTCATTCATGTAACTTCCGGAATGACCTCAGATGGAGAACTCACTCACACAGTGCTTCACCTGCAGAATCAAGTCCAACCTGTTCACATGCATCCAAGGCTCTTGGTTCTCTGGCCTCCCCCAATCTTTCCAGCCACATCTCCTTCCCCTCTCTTGGAGAGGCCGGGGGACTTGGGCTCAAGGCCACAAAGCTAGTCCATGCCAGGCCAGATCCTAGGTAGGTCAGCGAGGCGGACCTAGAGCCGAAAGCCTGAGACCTAGCTCTGGGCAAGTTTGGGGCCCTGTTTCTCCCTCTGATATCAAATGGTAACAAAGCACCCTTTCAACTGGGCCACAGTATGCCCTTCACATTCCACCATGAGCACTTATTTTGTTAGTTTAGAAGGCATTTGCCCAGCATCCCCAAAGGAGTCAAAGAGTATGCATTGGTGGGGTGGCTGCCAGTGGTCAGATAGCATGGAAGCTGGTGCTTCTCCCTTCTTCAACTAAGACAGTGGGGTTTGAGGAGCCAGATCTCATCCCCGCTCATTTAAGATGTGGTCCTTTGAAGCTCTGTGTTGTCCTCAGGGACGGAAGAGCCCCAAGGCCCAAGGAGCCCCAGCAGGAGCAGTTTTCCTGGGCAGCACTGGAGCTCTGAGTAGGAGCCTGAGGGGAGGGCAGATGTCCATCATCCCAGGCAGAGGGTGGCTGGGAGGACAAGAGGAGTGACACCATCTCACATACCTGGTAGAGGGGCTGCCACATTGGCACAGAATCCCAGTCAATTCAGAACCTACTTGTCCTTGGTTTGGAGGCCTTGGACAGAGCACTAGCACACCTCCCCGCCCCCTTCAGTGTCAGCGCCTGGGAGCACCTGCGAAAGGTGAGATAAGGCTTGTTAGCTTGCCCCCCCCCCCCC